GTTTAATGCGATTTCGGATGTGTCAGGCCCGGTTTGTCGCCTGTCACTTTGCAGTCATAATGAAGCTCTGTTCGCTGCCGGCCCGTTAGCTGCTTCCTGGTGTTTCCTTCCCCATTGGATTATGTTGGAGTGCTGTTCAGTAGATTAGTTTTATGCCAACAGTTCTGCCAGCCAAGGTGTCAAGTTTGGCAGCCATCAGGAGAAATGAGCTGACAGAAGCTGCAATAGACGTATATAGTTTTTTTTTTTTTTGCATTTGTAATTACCTCCGTTTACGGATGTGTCGTGACCAAACTTCATCCAGAAGGCCCGACCGGCGCCGGGAATTCTGCAGTACGGACCCTGGCTCTGGATCCGCTTGCCCTCCACCAGGCAGATTGTTTATCGCAGTTAGGGAGCGTAGCGAAACGGCACGTTTTCACCTTTATTAATTATAGAAGCAGAAGGTCTTTGCTGTTGGGGGAGATGGCTGCGGCGTGCTATTTATACACACTCCCCATGAAATCCCCTTCTAATGGGATTTTAAAGGGGTTGTTTTGCTGTAGATGTTGTGAAGTACGTTTCCGTACACGCGGTTCTGCTGAATTGATGCGGAAACGACGCTCAGGTGCCCCACCAGCGATAACGGAGGCCCCCGCTTTTAAGAATGGGGCTGGAGATTGTATTTTCATCCGGGTGGTGCTGGCGTGGATTTCACCCCCATCTTTGAAGTGGGGGGCGGCCCATCTCCTGCACCCTCTAATGCTGTCCTGCACCCGACCCCCACCGCTGCACTCTGCCCCTAATTGCCTCCCAGGCATGAGACTCAGAAGAGGTGTGCCTCTTTCCTGTCCGCGCCACGATGTCGAGCGGGTCCGCCGCCACCTCTCCGCTCTTTAATCCGTTAATTGAAGGGATGCGATTGGCTCTTGATTTCTGGCACCCTGAGAAAGCCCGTCCCCCATCCTCTCCCGGCTCGCGCCCGCCGCAGCTACCGCCGGTGCCGCTGTGGACGGCTCATTTAGGGAGAGAAATGGGGAATCAAACGCTTTGTCCCATTACCGAAGAAACCGGAAAGGATTTTCCTTTAAGCGTAATGAATCCTGCTGGGGTCTGAGGCGGCTGGTAAGGCAGGGAGAGCCCGCCAATTTCCTTTGACTGGCTCCTGTTAACCGAATGCTCTCTTTCTTAAGCCATACTTGACTTACCGTGCCCTCGTGGGGGTGGTCAAGCGTGATCCCCCCCCCCACACACACACACCAATGCCGATGCTTCTTGCTGTTTGAATTCTTCTGCTTTAATAAAAAGCTTATTGCTTGGAGAACATTGTTATTGATTGCCCCCCCCCCCCCCCCATCAACAATTTGAAATTTGTAGATTGGCTCTGTCTCTTTTTTTATTTGCTGGGGTGGGGGGTTGTATTCCTTGCTGGTGAGACAAAACAAGGGGTGGTGAATTTAATTTTGTCAAGAGTGGTGGGTGGGGGTTGGGCTCCCATTGCCTCCATGGAAGTGATCCCTGTTTCAAGTGTGAATAAACAAAGAATATTCTTTATTATGATGATGCAAATATGGGTGTGGAGGGGCGGGGCTAAGAAAATAGCAGAACCTGCCTGTTAGTGATGTTCACAGTGACCGCGCTCAGGGGGGAGGCAGCAGGGATGGGGTTGACTCGACACAGCACACTAGTTCCGGCCCTTCAGGATGGGTGGCATGACCCTTCACAGCAGCAGTCATGTGACTAAGAAGGTCACGCCCACTGTATTCACACAGTGTTTTTCCAGGAGAAAAGGCAGTCCTCTGATTAGGCTGCTAATTTAATCTCCGAATGTCAGCAGTCCTCAGGCCTTGATGATTCCCGTTGATTCCAGAGGCCGACGGTCCCCCACATGGGGGAGGGAATGCCTGTTTTTCGCTGGCAAATCATGCAGAGTCCCGCTGCTCCTATTATGAGCCTTTCAAAGTGACAATGGCAGCATGCATTTTAGGGCGGAGCTTCTGAAAGTCGCCCATTAGGCAGCGTGCGGCCTGCACAGCTACGGCATCCACAGCACAGCCTGTGCCCCCGCCCCCTGCAGGAAAGAGTGGAGATGACAGGTGGGCTTAACATGTCTGTTTTCATGGCACAATGTCCCCCCCCATTTTCTTAAGACTCATTCACCCCCCGGCCCCCACCTCGCACCCCTTGTGTACGCCGCCTCATGTTCACGGGATGCTGTTGTCGCCAAAGTGGGCCGGGGGGGGGGGCATCACAGTAATTAAAACGAGGCTGAAAGTCCCCCACCTGAAGCCTGTGTCACAGGCCCGGTCTCAGGAGGCTTCTAGTAATTTCTCACAGATGGAGGTACCACTCATTTGGGGGGGGGGGGGATCAGATGGCCGGCGAGGCCTCTGACAGCCTCTCCAGGGCGAAGTGTAGTGCTGCGTGACTCAGGGAGGTTATAAAAAATAAAACAGAATGGAAGGAAGAATAAAAGCTGAGAAATGAGCGGAGCCTCAGAGCGGAGGGGCCCGCTGAAAGCATTACGGGCTCCTCTCCGTTCAACAGACACCAGCGGAGAAGAAAACAGCCCCCACGTTGGGGACATGCGGCCTGCAATCGGCGTGGCCCCGCAGGTTTAGCGCCCGGAATCCGTGGCGTGTGACAGAGGAGCAGTCCGTCTCGGGCAGAGATCGCTGGGTTACTGTTGCCAAGGGCAACGGCATGATCCCTGGATCTATATGGTTGAGAACCGTCACTTCCAGAGACGCCACAAAGCTCTTAGGCACGTTCATTTGCCATCTGAGACTGTTGTGCCGGAGACTCATTTGACCGGGGGACACCGTGGGGGTGTTCAGATCCCGAGTGTTGTGTCAGGATGAGTCTTGCAGCCGTACTGCTCTGTAATCCCGGCGAGGTGCTGGATTGACTTGCGATTAAATTTTACATTGCTGCATAAAAAGAAAATAAAATGACAATCAGTGCCAATCAGTGATGCGATTTGGCTAACTGTGGTTATATCAGGGCACCGCCCCTCCCAATCCGAGTTGCAGTGGAAATTTAGAGTATAAATCATAATAATTCAATGCAAATTAGCTGTAAATGGAAAATATCCACCAAATGATCCATGTTTACATTACTGCTGGGAGACTGTAAATATCGTGAATGCTGCCAGGCAGCGCATGTCATGCGGGTGTGGAATGTTCCGGATGGCGGGCACACCTGCGCTGTCCACTCACTATGCTGGACCTCTGGAAAAAGCAGGGCCGGACCGCCTTAGCCTCAAACGCAGCAAAAGAGTCATGAGGGGCAGCTGTGACGAATTAACATGGCTCGCAGGCGTCACGGGCGTGTCCCTCTCAAGACGGAGCGCCCCCCCCACCCCAGTGGCGTTTCCATGAGTCACCTGGCCATTAAGCTCCACCCACTGGTGTTCTTGGTCCTTATTAGCTCTAATTGCCAGCCCTTAAATGGACATCGGCCAGCTCGTACCTGGGGCTTTCAGCTCTGCTGCGCTTTTCTCTCAAAGCTGTTCAAATCCTAAGCAGGTGCCATAAAATCAGCGCGTGACGATGACACGTCATTGAGCGGCGGCGCCGGCCAGGATCACTGCGCACGGCCTGCGGCAGCAAGTCCGCACCCCTCTCACCGCTCCCTTTGTTTTTCTGACCCCAGACCGACTTTGCCGCAGGCACCATCTTTTTTTTAAGGTCCTGGTCAAGATAAAGGAAGTGTTGCATTGTGGGAAATGCGGCGCAAAGCTCCTAGGGGTCACGGCTTCTTTGGCAAGTTGGGCAGGTCGGCCGGGGGGGGGTTTACTGTGGGGTCACTGGGGGTCACCAGGGGTCGAGTGGTGTCATGAGGTGCAGCAGCCGCTCTCCACCCGTCAACGGGAAGGTCAGCATTAAGAGGCAAAGAATAAAGAACACAATTTCACTTAAAAGGAGGGAGAAGGAGGTGAGGTGTTTTGTTTAATTTACTCCAGTGACCTTTTGCTGCTCAATTAACATTTAAAGAAAACGAGTCTAGCCTTTCTTCTTCTCCCTCCTTGTTTCTTTTCAGCTCTGGTCGGGCAGATGAGCCTTTTTGCCCCCTGGAAATCTCTTTGCACCCGCCTCCCCCATCCCCCGTGTTCTGGGAGAGGTGCCATGTTTTCCTCGCATAACGAGGACACGTGGCATGCCGTAATTCCATGGCCGGCCTACAGGATCGTGATTACGGATAATGAAGGGCGCCTGTTTTAAGGAGACATTTTCATTATGTGCCGATTTGTTTATGCCGCCGAGCCACGCGTGTGATTTCCAGCTCAGTCCCGGGAACGGAGCAGACTGGCGGAAAAGGCCGGAACCGGCGCTGCAGCATTGGATGATGGGTACATAATTGTAGGCAGAGATGCATTATGCAGTGAAACACATTTGAAGACCTTTTTTATTTACCCCCCCCCCCTTCACTGCTGCCCTTGTGTCCTTTTAACATTAGTATCATGGCAGCATCATGGATGTGGGCCAGGTGGTCGCTCAGCACATCAGGCCTCAGTGATCAGAATGTTGCCGGTTTGAATCCCCTTCTCAGCAGAGTCGCCACCTGTCTTTTGGACCCCTGAACAAGGCCCTTACCCATAACATTGGGGTCAACTTGGGGTGGACTTGTTTCTGTGACCGCAGCTAAGAGCGTTGCAGAGTGACAGGCTGCCCTGCTCCCAGTGCCCTTCCAGCTGTGGATACAGACCCATCCTTGTCCTCATTGGAGATTCTGGTTCAGGAAGGCTTATGAAGCTGAGTCTAAACAAGATTTGTCCCCTTAGCTGGCGATTGGAGCTAAACCTGCCTCTTTCCGGGAGGTTCTGGGTTGTGCCTGCGTTAGGAAGGCAGAGAGCGGTAAAGGCGGCTGTAATTCCAGAGAAGTCGTGGGTCTCTGCGGGCTCTCGGTGCCAAATGAGCGCCCCCCTGAGGAGCGCAGTGTGCCTGCAGGGGCCCTCTCTCCGCGTGGAGGCCGGGCGCCAGCCGGACTGACTGGGGGGGCTCTCTCTGGGCTTTCCACAGAACCTGATGAAGAACCTTCCGGAGCAGAAGGAGCTGAATGCGCTGGCGGAGCTGCGCGGAGAGTACGACACGCTGTGTGAACCTGAGCAGTTCGCCATCGTGGTGAGTCCCACTGCTGAGCCCCCCCCCTCCCCGCCCCCTTCCTCCACCCCGTCGAATGGCAGCTGTCAGCTTCATGCGTCTCTCTTCTGTACTCTTCCTGACCCCCCCCTTACACCCCCATCCAAAAAAGTAAACTGCAGAGAGTTTTCCGGCACATTCCTCTCTGTCTCTTTCACCCAGCGACTCTCGCTTTTACTCCCTTTCAGCCTGTGCTCTCCTCCTTCCCCCCCCCCCCCTCGCCTAATGACGTACTCGTCTCCCCATTTTCACAGAACCAGGCTAAGGTTTTTGGTCGTGTGTAGTTAGGAGGAAACCAGGAAATTAAGACTCAATCCATAAAAAAAGGGAGAGAGTCAGACGGAGGGAAGGGGAGAGGCCCCCCCTTCAGGACAGCTGCAGTATCAGCGCTATTCAATATATAAAGAGTGCAGTAATGTATAATTAAAGGTGTAAGAATATAAAGGGCATTTTTTATGACCAGTCGAATCGGGCAGCTCTGGTTGCGGCTGACAAAGGCACTGAACATTTTGATGAATAATAAAGACACCCGATTGGATTTTCTTACCGGGCCTGATTAGAACCGAGAGCCCGTTTAAAGTGCTGGCTCCATTTTCACGCCCCGCCAGGCACCCCGTGCTGGCCCGTTGAGTCTGTAGTGGACACGAGACCTCGTGACACGCAGGGGTGCACCTGTGTTCCGACCGGGGGGGGGGGTGTTTTTTCCCCACCCTGACATGACTGCGGTCTGTCCCAGAAAGGTTACGCAGGCCACCTTTAAATGTTAACAGCGGCCAAATCCCGGTGTCGGCTCGGTGGTGAATGAATTATCACGGTAAATGTTAAAAGACACCACAAACAGCACCTTCACACTTTCTCTCTGCTTCTTCTTCTTGCCCTGTCCATCTTTTTAACTCCTCTGCCCGACTCTCACGGCGCTGTTAATGTGATGTCCGGGTGCGTTACCCGGGCAGCCACCAGGGGACACGTGAGCTCAAATCACGGCAAAAAATTAAAATATTTGCATCTCTCTGGCTGGAGTGTTCAACCACAAGCAAGGATGAAGATGAGGAACCTTCTCCAGAACATACCAGTGACCTTCTCCGTCTCCCCGGTAAAAATGTTTCGGCTGGTTTCTCCCCATCACTAGCTGTGTTAACGGTGCCCGTCACAGTAACGCAGCAGGGCGGAAAGCAGGGCTGTACAGAGCAATAAAGTCCCCCTGCTGTATCCATGGTGACCCAGGTCCTCCGTGTCGCGAAGGCCAGCGTTGGGGGCCAGAGGAGCCTGACCAAGCAGAGCTCTGCGAGAAGCTGCCCGGTTTGATGCCCGTTTGATGCCCGTGCCCGTGTTCCCGCCCTGGCTGCCATGTTTGGCAGTGCATCTCTTGCTCCTGGGATCGCTCTCTCAGAACATCCACGTTGGCCAAGAAAGAAGCGGTTTTATTTATAGTCAAATGTGTTTCTGTTCCTTGGACATTATTTTTCTTTCGTACCGTTTGCTCTCCAAAAGCGTTTTTTGTTTTTCAATTTGCCAACGTAGGAACAAAACCTTGCGCAGCTTATTTTTAAAGGGCCCGTTGTGCCTAATTGATTCTTTTCACACTCCTCCTCAGATCAGACCCGACTCGCTGTGAAGTGTTTGGGGTGGGGGTGGGGGGGCTTTGCACAAATCTGTTCCAGCGACCCAAACCGCCCGGCCAGCTGCGGGTGCGGTGGCCAAACGAAACGTGGGCCTGTACCACAACCCACATGCCAGTTTCTGTGTTCAGGGCCTATTGGGATCCCAGTATGAAGCTGCCTGCCAGTTCCGTGCCAGCCATCTATTCCTGTGTTCGGAGACGTTGCCCGTTTCCTGTCATGTGACTGATGCACGCTTTACTCCCCTGCTCCAGATGAGCTCGGTAAAGATGCTCCGCTCCCGCCTGAACGGCATCCTCTTCAAGCTGACCTTCGAGGAGCAGGTGAACAACATCCGGCCGGACATCATGAGCGTGACGCTGGCCTGCGAGGAGCTCAGGAAGAGCGACGGCTTCAGCCGGCTGCTGGAGATGGTGCTGCTCATGGGCAACTACATGAACGCCGGATCCCGCAACGCCCAGACCTTTGGCTTCAACGTCAGCTTCCTGTGCAAGGTGGGTCTGCTCGCGGGAGGGGGGGCACTGCCACTCTACTGTCTGGTTTGGCTCTATCAGCAAAATCACGCACCCCCACACGCACAACCCCCTCCACCCACACACAGAGTCATTTACACTTAAAAGCGCCTCTGTTAGTCTGGCCCGACGTTAAACTGCCGTTCGTCCTCAAAAAGATGAATAAAACATTGTTGGAAAAATGAAAGACAAACACGTGTTTGTGTTTTGATACTTTGCGAGCACATGCTCTCGTACGCACACGCTAGACTGTTTACCGGTTAATTGGTTATTATGTCAGCATGAAAAACGCGACCAGTCTGGTGTGTGGCGTGTAGCTGAGTTGTCCGCCGGTGGGGTACCCCACGGCACGAGTGCCGCGTGTGCAAGCCCGAGGCAGAGGTGGAGTCAGAGTGTGAGTCAGAGTCCTCCACCTCACCCCCCTCCCTCCCCCAGCCATGTTTTTTCCTGTGCATCTGATTTAAAGCTGATTTTACCCCTGATTATTAACCCCTTTATTGCCTGGCTCAGGCACTCTGGCTCGGGGGTGTTTGGGGGGGCGGGGAGGCTCCCGGCCAGGTAGCATTGTCCCCACCAAAGCAGATGCCACTTTGGGTAATTTTATGGCAGACGGGAGCCATACTGGGTGGGGGCGGGGCTATCTCCGGACCCTGTGCTGGCATTGGCTGCCGCCTGTGAAGGGGGCAGGTCGATGCCAGCTTACCATCACAGGTTCTCGTGGGCTGGCTGTGCCAAGTCTGGATCCTTATCTCAAATTGATCTAGTCTTGAGTGACGGCACCCCTTTGTGTCGCACTCGCGGCCGTTAATTCGCCGTGGCCCGTCAGACTCTCGCCACCGGCGGCACGTGGCACAAGGCTGCCTTCAGAGACAGCGACAATTATAAAGTTATTAAAATAAAAAGCAAGCATCTGCATGATATATAAAGTAAGATAATTGGAAAGAGCCTTGTTAGTGTCAAGCATTGATAATGTATTCGATTTGCCGGCAGAGTTATTAAAAATCAGCGACGGCAGTGCGGAGCCGCTTGCGGTCTGTGGCGTATCTGCCGCTGGCTCTCCGCCTTAAAGAGACGGCGTCTTTTTTTTTTGTTGATTTGGAACTTGTCTCCTTCTGTTGCTGGGAGTATCTCAGGTTCTCTCTCTTCCCCCCCTT